TTTTCAGAGTACACATTAATATTTCCAGTTCTAAAAGGTATAATAAAGCTTTTGTACAATAAAGGAAACCTCAGTGGAATTGTAATCACTAAAATTGAATACGTAATGTGATTCTTATTGAAGATGTTTTGTCATGTTTCATCCTTTATACGTGCTCCAACATTTTTTGCTTTTTTTTCGAGGAGGGCAGGAAAAGCGAGATTTGAATCCAATTTGTACCGGAATAAATCGTGGCCTGTGCGCGACTCACGATTTATTTTCGATATGATTCTTTTTGCAAGAGATGACTGAAAATAGCTATATATGATAACAGTTTCTCTTTTAATTATACATACTGTTCACAATAAATTACTTACTAAACACGTAAAGGAAAGAAAACATTATACTGAAACTCTTAAAGAAAACAAAAAAAAAGATACGTTTCTCCAAACATCGTGCATTAGCATATTTTGTGATCTCTTATTGATGCTTCTTTCGCAAGTTGTAACATATTTTAGAAAGTATTACACTAACTGCAGTCATTTATTTCTCAAAGGGATCAGAATCCTTTACTCGAAGTACGTGATTGTATTGCACAAAATTGGTCCAAGTGGTTGGTTGAGTCAGGAAACAAGATGACGTCATTAATCTTTGCCTAACGGTCGTCCGAGTGCGAGCGGCTACTCATCACGGAACATTTACTAAATCGACTCCATTACCTTTCTAATAATACATTACCTGGATACTAGAGATAGAAGTAACCCTACAGACTAACTAAATGTTTTAGATGTTAAATCGTTTCATGCTAAAATCGATAATTTTCTGTACAATAACACAGTACCATATAAAAATGGAAGAGCAGTATCCTACTAAAATTGATGATGAAGCGAAGCCTGTTTTCTCGACTCTCAACTGAGTAGAAATAGACAAAGAGATAGTCTATTTTATGCTTGTGCATTTATTTCAGCTCTGATCATACAAAATATACATAAACTACGATGAATCGTAAATATTGCAAGATTGGCTAATCATATTAACTCCATTGTAACAGAATCGGTATATACTTTGAAATAAAATCGTACTACTCATTCGAATAAACATAAATGCTATAAGAGTATAAACAGTTAGTCTGTCAAGCAGTAAACAGTGAAATGATGGCTGTGGCATGTGACACTTTTCTGTGGCAAAGTATCAACGCTTGGCCACATATCTGTCAGGCACTTACATAAGTAGCTTAAGTCTTTTAATAGATACGTGTACGCCGATGATATTATTCGAGCTTGGCCAGCCGCCAGCTCGCTAGGCATTTATAAATAGATGTTTCGACCAACATCATGGAGGATGAGAGTGTGAATAAATTGTAAGCCGCAAACTGACCACAATTTGCGTTGCTACAAATTGGATTCACGTCCAGCTCTTCCATCTCATTCACGGAAAAGGATATGCAATTGTAATGTACACTATAATAGACAATTAAGGGAAAACCAAAGAACTTTAATCAAGACATTCGTTGTCTTATACTAATCGCCGTAACTTAGTAACAATAGTACATACTTAATGACGACTTTGAAGGTCAAAAGGCAGTTTTAATAGTCTTAAAAAATTAACATTAAAAAGTAATTATGCTAAAATTATAAATGCGAAAGTTTAGATGGATGGATGTTTTTAGAGTTTGTAGCCTAAACTACTGAACGGATTTCGATGAAATTTGTTTTAGGTGTAGAGGATAGTCTCGAAGAACATATAGGCTACTCTCTTTTGTTTTTTTTTTTATTCCACGCGGATGGAGTCGCGAGCGAAAGCCAGTTGAAAATAAGCGGACAGAATAGTTCAGCCGTTAAAACGTACATACGTAAAAGTTGAACTCGTTTAAACTTAAACATTTTAAACGCGTATCTTCACTTTATCTGTCTGCATCTCGATATTTATAAGTCTTCATGTTCAAATATTTAATTGTTCATTTTAAAATAAGTATATGTATTATTGAATATTGGACTAACATATTTAACCGCGTTAAAATAAAAAGCAATACTATTATATAAAGTCTAGTTACTCATTGATAAGTAGCTTTCTAATGGAAAATGAATTTTCGAAATCGGCCCAGTACTTTTTTAATTTATTATTAATTATTATATTAAACACATTATTATAATAGTATAGATTTTACACTTTAGTGGTACAATAATTGAACATTGTCACTAAAATTACGAATGTTTTATCTACTGCTTTGATCTTGATATCAAAACTGTTAAAAATCAGATTTACGAAATTTTAGGACAAGTATTTAGAAGGCGATTAAAATATGTAACAAACATAAAAACGCTGTACACTAGTTCATATGAAATAGAACAGTATGTAAAGAGACATGAATACCTTTACATGGCTTCCATTTATCTACTTAAAAATGTATGAGATAAGATAAGTCGGTCGTACTCGGATATAGAAGCACATATTTTCTAGTTTTATCTTTCTGATTCGAAATTAAACTTTACTTTTTAAAATTAAAATGTTCTCAAGACTACTAATAGGATAGTAAGTGAAAGTGACATTTCAAACAGAAAAAGAAAGAAATCCATACAACGATCGATGATTTTCTACGACATATAACGGCGTAACAAGATCTAGATGAACACAAAGGCTACTAAGTTTTTCTTCAATTTAGCGCGTATGAAGTCGTGAGCAAAAGCTAATATAAGATAAATTAGTCGATGACTATACGAATACTTTTTCTGAAATATTCACACTAGGAAGAGATGGATGGATTGCGTAAAAGGTGACATGATCAAAAAGGGAGTGATGACTGAGATGACGTATGATAGAGTTATTTGGAGGACAAAAACCTGTTGTGCCGACCCTACGGGAGTAGGATATGGAGGATGATGACGTTCATGCTAGGAAATTGGGAATGTAAAACGACTTTTCAATAATATTTTACATTGTAAACTTTAGTAGTCAGTAGCAATGCAAGGAAATCTCTTATCTTGTGAGATATCGCAGTAAATTTCAACGTTATGGGCCAATGTTTTATCGATTGAAAGCATATCGTGCCCGAGATGCTTTAACTTCAGATTTAACGTTCTATGAAGTCGTTACGGAAAACAATATCTTATCTGCACTTTAGCTATCAGGATGGCCTAAAACATGCCAAACTATAATACCAATCGAAATGTTGTATTACCGATTTATATGCTTATATATGTACATTATCACATGAAGTTTATTACCTTTACTTTTTATTACTTTTGTCCTTGATATCAAAAATATATGTATTGTTCTCTATTATGATAGTTTTATTATTTTTTTTTCATAAACGTTGTGTTGTATATAATGCATTTAAGGTATTCATCAAATTGTCTGAGTAATGCTAAACTTTAAATAGTGAACTAAGGGTCATATATTTTGACTTACCTGTCAAACATGTGGAACAAAGCCAAACTAAGTCTTGTATAATGCAAAACAAGCATCATATACGGTGAGAATTTACGAGGAAAGTTCCTTGAGAATATCACAAGCTCTGCCCCTGGGAGCACCCGTCTCAATACTAACTCAACCACTATATATTCATATTTATTGTTCGAAACAGAAGTACTAAAGTACAATCCTTTTGGGAGATTGATTATGCATTATCATATTTAAAAAGCTATGAAAAATACTAAAACGTGGGTATTCTGATATTTTTAATTTAAAATATGCATACATTTGTTGAATCTAAATCTACAGTTATTTGGTATTTTTTGAGTCTAAAAACTATATCTCCCTAATCAAGGTCTTGCATAAAAATAAATGGTTCTCTTTGTTATGTAACATTACTCAGGATGTTTTGATGCTCTTATTCTCTTCAAACTGGTTCAAAATTACTTCATTTTAGAGTACAAAAATAGCGCTAGCATAGATTCCTTAATATTATTAAATTGTAGTAAGTTCTTGAATTATAATTCATAAATTAATTATAATAAATATTATTGAAAAGTCAATCTTTCGTAAATTGTTTTGTAACATACTTTTAATGTAACTCAGATATTCCAGATTCAATTTTCTTGACTTAAAGAAATAAAATTGGTAATTTATGTCCCAGTATATGATCCACAGAAAATAATATTTTTCTTGTCGTTTATGAAGAAGTAATAAGGACGATTCGCTTCAAAAACTTTGGGTTGTTTAACATTGATACCAGCAGATCTGGCGCCGACCACTACTGCTGTAACAAAATTTATCAATTTTAATGAATAAAGTTAAAATTTGTAAAGATAAGACAATGTATAAATTGATTTATCTAATGAAATTAATAACGTATGCATCTTTCATATTTCATCGAATAAAAATATTTGAAAAGGGAAACTAATTGTACTCTGTAACGTAGCTTTTAAAACAATAATGGTCAAACATTCCATATTTTTAACATTGTTAATTATTAATAGTTATCAGATAAATGTTAATAAACCATATAAAAAAAGAAAAACATCAATAAAATGTAATTATTACCAAATAATTCTGGACCTTTTACAAAATATTAACATATTGAAACATACTCAGAAGGTTGTTAGGCGAATTCAATCTGTTTTATTAATAACTAGCTGTTCTCGTGTTACTTCATCCGCATGAAATTATGAAAATTTTATTTTATTATTTGTCAAATTATCAATTACAAATGTCAAAATGACATGACAAGACATGATGACAACCTTGCTTCCTTGATGTTGGCAGCAACTTATGGTCTCTTTCGCACATTAGGGTTTTCATCCAAAACATTTACCCCTAAGTTTAATGGCGTTGAAAGATATAGCCTAAAGCGTGACGCAAGTGTAGGGCTTTTATTAAGAAGTTTTGTTCAAAAATATGCTGTAATTGCTGACATCTTAGGCAATAAAGAAGTGTGTGTTTACGCTTTATTATATAAAAAATAGTAAAATAGTAAAAATAGTAAATAGTAATAGTACAGTATAATAGTATATATTTAAAACATGTTATAAAAACTTTAATCATGTTCCAGTATAAGAACCACAGAAGATAATGTTTTTATTAGATCGTATGAAATAAAAATAGGGACGATTTGCTTCGAAAATGTTAGGTTCCCCAACCATAGCGGACAAAGCAGTGACGACTATAGCTGTAAAGAAAATAAGATAAATTACTGTTTTAGAAATCTTAAGTCTTTTTGCTAAATTAATGCTGAATACAGAACCAAAAGAAGGGACTTTAATGTTATGTTGGGCGCTAATTAACTTAGTAATTTCTTAAGTAACACTGGCTGGTTGGTAATGATTTTTCCTCAACACAGAGGGAACTATTAAATACGTCTTCTGTACGGATAACTTTTGTCTCAATTTAAATGTACTTGTTGTTATACTGGTTTTATTTCACGTTTTATATTAAGGGATTATCCTTTTTGTTTTAGTCTAATGTGAATTTACCCTAGATAATAGACGTCATCTTAATTGACAATAATCGTTTTTTCTTTTGATAATTACTTAAAAACATTGTATTGGAATTTTATAACTACGCGATTTAAATAAAATGTTTGATTTGATTTAAGTTTATACCATTTAATATCAATTAAATAATTCGGACAGCGTATCATGTGCCAGTATAACCGCCACAGAACAAAATATTCTTCTGATTATTTATAAAGTAAATGTAAGGACGATTTGCTTCAAAAACTTTTGGTTCTGGCTTTGGTAGAGGTAATGCTTTAGTGCTGATGACTACAGCTGCAAAGAAAAATAGTATACTTTGTTATAAAAAAATACTTTATTACTTGAGTTAAATTCTTTACTACGCCATGTAGAATATAATAATGATTGGTTAATATCTGTCGGACATTAAAGAAATACGTTTGATTGCAAATAATACATCGTTTCATCGAAATCAGTTAAGTATTGTAGAAGACATTAGAATACTATGGCCCAGTGTAGGCACCACAGAAAAGAATGTTCTTCTTCTGATTTATAAAATAATAGAAAGGACGATTCGCTTCAAAAATTTTTGGTTCAGATATCCTCACTGAAGTAACGCCAACTGTTATAGCTGTGAAGGGAATAATATAACATTGATACGAGTCTACAGATTTGTTTTGTTCGAGATTTAATATCCTAATTACGCTCAAAAAATAATGAATATACTTCAGCTGTACTAAGCCTAGACGACACCACGAATTTGTCAACTCAGGAAGATTAGTTCGTGTGCGTATTGTAAGGAAATTGGTGTTGAAATCTACATTTACATGTGTTTTAAAGAATGCTTCCGCTTTTGTATAACAAACTGTCGTACTCGAAATCAATATCCACTGAACCAATTAAATAGATTTAGTGAAGAAATCTACATCAAGGATTAGCTTCATCTATCTCTTTTATGGCAGTAACTGTTTTATTATAAAACTGTTGCTCGCGACTTCGTTCACATCAAATTATATTAATAGTAAAAAATATAGCTTGTGTTACTCACAGATAATATAGGCTTAAGACGGTAAAAGATTATTTTTAATTCTAGCTTTAGTCTTTGAATTAATTCAACAGATACAAAAATTCAAATCTTTCCTCTTTATAATATTACTATAGATTAAACATACCGTTTGCTGCGGCTGCTTCTGAACCCATTTCACTTATCTCTACCGTTGCTTTTTGAACGGCTGCAGATATATACAGTTGTTCAAAAACTTTTAACATTCCAACAATCTCTTTGTTATTAGGGTTTAGTACTTCGGTGATGTTTACCTAGAAAAAATTCTTTTCAATAAAACACTCAAAATGATATCTGAAGAAATTTTTCATAATAAGTTTAGAGACAAGAAATACTAGCTTTCGCCCGCCACACGGTTCGTGCGGAATTAAAAAAAAACTATATGTTTTGCAGACATGCTACAATGTTACAGACATGTTACATTTAAAAAGATTAATTTTGTTTTATTGATCTCAGTTGACTTTGGCGACAGAAGCGGATAGTGTCCAAAATGAAAATCTTACCTCTTTAAATACTTTCGTTAGATCAGTAGTTGTTGATGTTTTTATTGACGGCAAATATACTTTAACTTCTTGACTTTGCAATCCATCGACTATGGATTTAAATGTTTGTGGATCTTGTAGCTTTTGTGCCAGACCTTCTAGAGAATAAGTGTCCTCCGAGGTTGGTAAAACACATAGGAGACTGTAGTTTTTATCTTGATATAACAATTCCAGAGCCTGAATTAAAAATAAAATACAACGAGCTGTTGTTGCGTTACTTGATGATACATTTTTCAATTTCCTTTGATAATAACAACGTTGAAATTTTTTTTACCTTTAATTCCAGTGTGGGACTCTCCATATATCTGAAGTAGCCTTTCTGATACATCATATTGACTGTACTATTTTTATCTTTTGTGATGTAAAAATCTTTCTTTTGGGTATTCTTCGGGTTGAAGGGTTTCGACCAATTACCCTGCAAATAAATTTACAATATAAAATTTTAGTTAACTTCAAAGACTTACATCTATAAATATTTAAACTGTTTGACTTGCCTTGAAGTAAATAGCATTCACCAAAACCAATCGTGTCAATTCGTTTAACATCTTTTCCTCCACAAGATTTGTTATGAGACCATTTGTTTGGGCTTTTACCTGAAATTTTATCCCTTAATTTAGAGGTTATCTGTTCTCAATTCTTTTTTTTCTTTATCTTGGACTAGCTGTTCCCATGAGACTTCATCCGCATGAAATTATAAAAATTTCAATTTATTGTTCACATTTGCCAAATTATCAATTACAAATGTCAAAATGACATGACATGATGTCAAACCATGGCAACCTTGCTTCCTTGATGTCGGCAACAATTTATGGTCTCTTTCCCACATTAAGGTTTTTATCCAAAATATTTACCCCTAAGTTTAACGGCGTGAAAATATACAGCCTAAAGCGTGACGTAAGAGTAGGGCTTTTTATTAAAAGAAGAGTTATTCGAAAATATGCTATGATTGGTGACATCTTAGGCAACAAAGAAGTGTGTGTTTACGCTTTATTATAATAGTATAGATATAGATATAGATATACCAGCCCTGTAAGTTTTACGTACCCAATCGTTAATGGCTTTCGCCGCAGCCGCTGCTTGACTGAAGTCTAAATTTTGTGCTTCAGCATCGAAATAAACTTCTGTATCATATTTGAATGCATCACTCAATTCATATTGTTTATTGGCATAAACTTTTTGCGCCAAATTCAGAGTCACATTTTTTGGTAACTTGAAATTATCTAAAAGCCTTCTAATTCCTTGACGAATCTATGAACACAACGATTCTGTTAAATGTAAAAAAATAACGAATCCAACAGATATTTTAGTAGTAAAATTTCAATTACCTCATCCTTGTTATCGACATTCAATACATTTGTAATTTGCGCAAAGGCTTTCCCAATCGTGTATAATGCAATTTCAGCTAGCGGTATCAGACACGAAAATGGCGACGCTATGAAACTTTCATTCGGATTTTCATTTGTTTTAAACTGCAAAAGAATAAATTATTATTAAGGAGCGTATTCTATAGTTGTAGAGACTATAGCCTCCGCAACTCAGTTACTCACTTGTAAAAATGTTTGTGTAAAACGTGCGTTTCCGGCCAAAAGTTTTTCCAAAGCTTTATCAGCATCTACTTCAGCGGGCGGCGTGGTTACTGTTGTTGGCACTTCTGTTGTTGTTGTTGTCGGAGTCTCAGTGGTAGTGGCTTTAAAAATTGCATTTAATTATGTACAATTACCATTAATCAGTTTTAATTTAAGAAATATAAAACCGTAACAGAAGTGAAGAATTTTTTTTGTTACACTTAAATTGTATCGACATAAAACTTTTAATTAATAACTGAGAAGACAATTAAAAAAATATGTTTTTCCAATATTTTGATAACTAGTAAACGGCTATTGACCGAAATTCAGCCTTAATTCCTAATTAAAGTTATTTTTTATTTCATAATTGCTTTATGCACTTCTTCAAATTCACTAAAACTGAGTTAAATTTCATATTTCCCAGATAGCACAATTTTCCTCAAAAAGGGGAAAAAACACTATACGTATTGTTATGTTTTGAATGAATTTCTTTGTGATTATAATAAAGTTTACTAACTGTACTGTCCGTTGTCTACGACACATTTTCCTACATCGTTTCTCACGTAACCAAGTACACATCGACAACCCTTTTTACAGCAATCAGATGGAGATGCGCAAGTTTCATAATATTCGTTTACACCTCGACATTTTGGATCTGTAATAAAATATGTACTCCACTAACAAGGCAGGCAAACAAACTTAACAAATTAAAAATATTATAAGCAATGACAGAGTCCATAGAAGCTTTAACTGCTAGAAGAATAACTCGCTCCAGTACCGCTTCTATCGCTACTAGTGCTCTGGGTGATATATATTTTTTTTATAAATTATAGAATTCCTCTAGCATGAAAGCCAGAGCCTTTATTATGCTTCATATAATTCATCTGCTTCATTACATTTTTATCTCATACATTTTACTTTTTATTTTTACAGATTTTTTAAAATACACAAGCTAAGATACATTAAGATTAAAATAAATATTACTAAGACTACAGGTACAATATTAAAATTATGGACATTATTAAAATTATAACTGGTATATGAAATGTAAAATAAAATATAGGATAAGTATAAAATAAGTATAAAATAATAAAATAGACTAGATTCATATGCTACGTTACAATTCCCTAAAGTTTTAATATGACTAGGTTTAAGTATATATGTAAATATGACTATGAGTAAATATGACTGGGTGATATTTTAACAGGCCCCCTTTTTTGCGCTGTGGGTGTAACCAAGTTTATGTGAGACTGTTTAATTTGCAGACTTGTGCCCCTCTTTAGGTCCAGCACCCTGAGCTGTCGCATAACCTCGCCATATCCTAACACTGGCTTGGCCTGTCTCGCTAGACCGGTGCAATGACACGACCATTGAAAGGACAGACGTAAAGTTGAAGTCCCTTTTATGATGATGATAATGTTATAGGAGAGTTTATTCATTTAATTTACCTTTTCTTTCCGGACAATTGTTGATAGGGACACATTTCCCTTTAGCGTTTCTCAAATGATTCTTTTTGCATACGCAACCGTAAATACAACTGCTTCTAACAACATCAATACAAATGGCAGGTCGTTTAAGATCCGAGCAATTGCGTCTGGCGCATCCTCCATTGACGCAATCAGAAAATGTTTCTAACTGGCTTCGGCAAACTGGAGAAAGATGAATCTTATCAAGTTTCCTTACTCATAGTATCAAAACTTAATAGTATAAAGCGACCAAATATTGTTCTTGACCAAAAATGAAGAGTTACAGCATTTTTTGTCCTTACATAAATCAAAAAAATATTTTTTTATACTCAGGGGCGCGTGTTTCTGGATTATAAATTGAAATCAATATGCTAAAGTCCGTATACTGGAAAACATTACTTACATTTATTTTTCGCAATACATTTGCCTTTATCGTTACGAGCATAATCATTTTCACAACGACAGCCTACAACACAAGAGTCGTCTGCAACTTGAGTGCTTGATTCACATGTTTCGTAATATTCATGGGGTCCATCACATACGTATTCTGGTGCATCTACACAAACATATATTAATATAACACTACACACAACATATAATAACAATGTAAACAATAATGCTAGTTACTGGTGTTTAAATTTTTACTAATGACTATGCTATGTGATTTTTTTTAAATAAGTAACAATTCGTGTTTGTTTTCTTCCCGTACTTCTGAGGGTACCTAAAAAGGTTTGAGTTAAATGTAAAAATTGAACTGATAATATCTTATAGTTTTTAATTATACTTTTACTAGGTACTAGATTCTGCCTACTGCTGCCAACACTTCAACAGTATTTAATATTGACATTGCAAGCTGGATTCCACTTAGAGCGAGCACACGCCTTTGACAGTTGACATGAAAATTTTCTAGTCTATGTTGTATTTTAAATTTAATTGTTATATTATATTGTTTTTAAATTAGGCTTAGATAAAATGATATAAACTGATACATAGAAGTAAGATTTAAATGTAAATTTATGTTTTAAGTTAAAAATAAAGAAATAAAGATACACCCGCTCCCCAGGTCCCTGACTCAAAATGTGTTATGGGAACAAGAGAGCGGCGTGTAGCCGCTCTCAAAAAAAAAAAACTATCGCACAACTGTTTAGTCGCGCTTTTTATTCTGTTGAGCTCATATGGTTAATTACGCACACAGTTGAATGGGTTGCGAAACAATCGACAATCACACAACCGTTGTGCGATAGTTTAGTTTAGCCCGCTCTTAGTTTAATAAAATTTCCAATACCTTCATCGCATGTATCAGACGACACATAGGAGGAACTCTGCGTGTAAGTTGAAGCAGACGACGACGTTGAGGTAAAATTAGAGATGTCGTAAGAAGCGCCATCTATTAAAAAATGGGATTAAAATTGATAAACTATTTTGTTTAAAAATGTAAATCGACGTAAATAAAATTAACTTTACCGTATATCTTACATAATTCTGAATTTTATTTATTACATTTGAGATAATCTATTTGTCGATAATTTAGTTGTTTGATGGTAAAAATATGCTACAACTTTTCTTTTTTTATTAGAATACATACTCGTAAGAATGAAAATCAATGCGTTGTCAAAATAATCAAAAACATCATTCTGTCTTATGTATAAGAGTAAGAATAAGAATATCTTTATTGCAAACGAAGGTTAATTACATTAATCACTGTTGCCTTGAAGAAGTCGTCACGTCGACGTCGGAACTAGGATTCCTGTTTTTAAGGAACCAAGGACTTCCCTTACAAAGTGATTCAATTTTGGTAGAAACAAAAAGAAAATTAACTGTTTAATTAGTTTTAACAAGTACGTTATTTTATTATATCTATTTTATAATTTATATTATATCCCCATACCTGAACATAGCACCGTTAAAAAATTCGCTGCGAGCAGTAAAACAATAGGTGTTTCCAACATTGTTTTCAATTATCAGCTGCCATTATTTCAAGGTCTTCACAACTTATATAGCGTTTCGTGCAACTGTTATAACATCGTGTATCGCAAAGTAATTATTTTATTAGTTATTTTAACAGACGGCACAGTATTGTCTTTTAATATTTGCTCCAAATTGCTATTATCTTTCACTTCTTTTTTAAACTAATTAAACAGAGGCCAACGTGTTTATGAGTTCCATTTACGTATTTGTCGTTCAATGATAACTGTGAACATGTTTTACGCAGATAAAGTCGTTTAATTATTATTTTTATTATTTTATAAAATCGTACATTAACTAATGTTATGGTCAAGCATTACTTTTTTATTTGAACACGTGTTTTAGATTTACCAACAATAAAATATAACATACAATTTTTATTACACGTGTACTGTTGATATTGTGATATGATAAAATAACAATTACTTTTAAGGAAAAAATTGCGAGTTTTAGAAAAGAAGAGATTACGAGGAAATAAGGGATAGGCAGAGAGACATAACTAATGACCCCAAAGGCGTTATTCCTTTATGACTCCTTTGTGCTTCCGGTTTAAAGAGATTTATTAAAAAGGAAGTTTAAGAAAAGATAACACAGGGATTCTCAATCGACATTTCTATTATAGTAATTATTTTACCCGAAATTTAAGTAAATTTAATTAAAACAAATACGATCTTCTTCTCGAAAAGGGATATGCGTGAACTAGAATGCTGCTTTTATTTCCCAGTATATGTTCCACAAAACAATACGTTTCTTTTGTATAGAACAAAATAAATAAATGGTCGGTTGGCATTAAAAATTGCTGACTTTATAATTGCCATTCTCAGGCTGGTTATTACAGCTGAAATTAAATATTATGTTTTTAATTTATTGTATATACATGTATGTGATATTTTTTATTGTTATTTTAAATGCATACGCACCATTCGCAACAGTTGCTTCTGTACCGAACTCATTGATAACTAACACTGCTTTTTGGATAGCTACGGAAACGTGCATTGGCTGAATGTATTCTAGCATCCCACTTATGTCAGTTGTATCTGGGTTAAATATTTCAGTAACATTAACCTGTAAATGAAGATTAGTGTTATCAATATATTTTTAACCGACTTTCAAAAGTAGGTTATGAATTCGTCAAATTTTTTTTTTATAATAAATTCCTCCAAACCCGTTCAATACAACTTCGATTCCGTACGTAAGTTAACTTGTGTTCGAGTTGGTTCTTAACGAGTTAAATTAAACCTCTGGACTTACTCCTTCTAGAATTGGTTTTAGATCTGTTGTTGTAGTAGTTAATATTGAAGGTAAATGTACTTCAACTTCATCAATTGATAAATCGTTAATTATTCCTTCAAAAACATGTGGTTCTTGAATTTTTTGTACTACACCTTCTACGCTGTAATCATCTTCAGACGTTGGCAAAATAATCAAGAGACTATAATCTTCGTCTTCATACTTTAGTTCCAATGCCTAAAAAAACTGTAAGTTGTAATTGCGAGAAAAACATACGATATTACAGAAGATATTCTTATACAGATTATACAGAAGGTATTCTTAAAAGAGTATGTTAAGTTTTCTATTGTTGTAGCTATTTTATTTCATTCTTCTGTATAAGAATTTAAAACTATATTTTTAAAACAAATGGCACGTAAATATAAGTGTAACTATTAACTAATTTGTTGCCGTCTAACGATCGTTTGTTTAATCTTAAGAGCAGGACCCTCGAGATACAGGCTGCGCCTAGTGCGAGGGTACTGGTCAATATAAAAAAAAAATCTACTGTATTTTACTACTCCGTGTATACATGATTGTTGGATTTAAATAAACATTTTTTCATTTTCATTTTTCATTTTCATTATATTAGCTGAACCTGTAGTGATATGAATAAGAGGAATCGAGTTATATACCTGTATTTGTAGTTCAGGGTTTTCAGCGTATAAGAAATATCCTTCTTGAAACATCATGTTAACGGTTATTTTTTCATCTTTTGTTATATAAAAGTCTTCTGGTTTAGTATCATCTGGGTCAAATGGATCTTTCCATTTAGCCTTAAATGTGTAGTGAAAATAATTATTTCGGGTACCAAGATATTTTCTCATCTCAAAGTGTTTACAAACATACTTACTTTGAAATGAATGGCATTAACTAAAACCATTTGTGTAAAGCTGTTTAACATATTTGCGGTAACAAGTTCCGGTATTTTGCCATCTGTTTTTGTGTTTACCTGTAATTAAACTTTGATAAATCAAAACTTGTTTTTAATAGTTTTTTTAGGTTACTGCATAATTTGGTCATACCCAATCGTTGATTATTTCTGCAGCTTGTTGGTTTTGACTGAAATCTAAATTTTGTGCTTCTGCATCAAAATATTCTTTGGTATCATATTTAAAGTCGTCAATGAAATCGAAATCGAGACTGCCGTATACTTTTTGAGCAAAAGTAATTGATACTTTTTGTGGCAACGCAAAGTTATCCAAAAGTTTTCTGAATCCCAGTCGAACCTAGAATATAAATGTAATGCATTATTCAATGATTTATAAAAAAAAAGTATCGTATATTGTAAGGAATAAAGTAAACCTCATCTCTTTCATCAATATTCAAAACATTAGAAAGTTGTTCGTACGCTATTCTAGTGGCATATAGCGTAAGTTCCGCTAAAGGCAGCAACACAGAGAATGGCGATGCTATGAAACCTTGTCCAGGATTTTCTCTGGTTTTTAACTATAACAAAATGAAATACATTCATACAAAATGAAATACATTCATCTGTTAAGTATAGAGATTAGGATTAATTCTTAAAGTTTTAATCCCGAAGTATCAATACTTACACTTAAAAAATTGGTAGTAAATGCCTCATTGCCTTTCCAAATTTTATTTAAGGCTAATTCAGAAATCTGAACATCTTCGTTGTTAGCTACAAAAAAATAACACATGATAATGAAAACGATAAGTAGATGATGTATAAATAGTAAAGTACAATTTAGTTTAGGTTCAGTAGATTTTAACATACTTGTTATGTAACTTGTAGCTAAGAATGATTAATAGAATTGGAGTTTCGTACCTCTACATATTGTTGTACATAAGGCCAAGAATAGAAATACAAGTGTTTTCTGCATTGCATACAATAAACAGGCATTTTCCAAGGCTATCTATTCTTATATACAAAGTCATGCTATGGTAACTGATGTTGCGGATATAAATCGAATTTTTCACCGTTTAATCGAATTTATTTGTTATTTTATCGTGAAACCATTTCGTTAAAATTCTTCTTATTTTATAATGATACTTCACAGTCTAATTTTTATTTTTTTTTCATAGAACTCATAATTATAATCAAGGTTTTTTATTGTATAACAAACAGCCACCAGTATTCGTCAAAACAGAGTAGCGTAGCCCACAGACATCCGCATTTGCCAACGTTGCCTACCTATTTTCAACAGCGTAAGGAGGTGCATAGAAATAGGATATTTCCTCTTCTTATGCTACCCATCCCAATTCAAAGCCACCATTCCCACCCTTATTTTGCACAAAAAGACGGAAAGGCGAAGCGGACCAAATTAGCCCTTAGGCACATACTCATCAGGTGGAATTGCACCCATGTCACGTCTGTATTTTGTGTGGTCGTGTTGTTCACTAGGCGAGGCGGCCACTTCTTGCAAAGATGTTAAAGCGGGCTCTACCACTGTTAAAATCTAACTCATCTACATAACAGCCAAAATTATAATTAAGAGATAACCAATGATTGTTTTATCTCAATGCAGGTCGCTCAAATGTGCCAAAAGTGATAAAACCTTTTAAACTCGTAAAATAAGATGGGATAATAATATTTAAATTTATTAACTGCATTTACTCAAACATTCTGAATATCTACATGTTGTGACAAAAATATGAAACAGCGACGGTTTTTATTTAATCAAATGTCTTGCAAGTTAACGTAACGTCTGTAATAATGAGTGAATATGGGAATTTCTTTTGTTTTCTGTAGTTCATTTGTTATTATTATTTAATACCTAGCGGAGCTGCGGAAGACCAGTTTTAGTCCTTTTACATTTTTATCCATACAATAACGAAAACTAACGGGATATGGATTTCTTGGAGAAGCAAAGGATAGGTTCTATATTTTATAATCGGTAAATTAAACAAGGGTTGCTATCCTTGTGATGAAGAGATGAAAAGAAGAGAATGGCCGAAGAGATGCTTCTCCATAACCAACTTTCCAAAAGAAGGAGGTTCTCAACTTGTTTGTAGGTTTTTTATAGTAGCCACCTTCTGCTAACGAACATATACCCTAAGGCCATCCTACGACACGATTAACTGCTTAAGTTGTTGCCATTTTATCACTATGCCTTAACCATCGCCTATACATAGTGCCCTTGCGTGTCAAATAATTCTTTCCTGTTTTGCTCCACTTAAAGCTACATGGGTCACGTTAGAAAATAACATTTACTATTACTTATTGCTTGTATCATCATATTTTATTGACATTAAAATAGAATTAAATCACGTATTCTCCATAGTATGATCCACAGAACAAAACGTTCTTCTTATATAGAATGAAATAAAGGAAAGGCCGGTTAGCGTTGAAAGTTATTGGGGGCGGTTTGACCAGTGGCGCCGATGGTAAAAATTCTATATCTGTAAACAAAAATCACAATATTACAATGAAGTTCTGAAAAAGGTTACACAATGCGAACTATTCAAAGTTAAAAATCTGTTACCATAATATTTTGTATCCGCAAATTTACAAATCTGCGGTTCACGGTAGCTCCATCTATTGGATAGTCCATCTACTAGATACCTCATAGATAGATCTTAGGAGATTATTTAAAAATTAACCCCATTATCTTAGCTCTTCAATGACGTTATAACTAGGAACTTATTCTAAAGAAATGTATGTAAATAAAACCAACAATGCGAATTCTAATAAAGTCCAGCACCAATGATTAAATTTAATATAGCGTATGGGGTTAAAATAAAGGCAAATAGTCTTTGTCACTTTCTGACGGAAACATATCGTATTACCAATAACCATGTATAAGCAATCGACTTACGCAGCTATTAGTACCGGAACCAATTGTAGGTACATGGTTGTGTTCCATACAGAGAACCCATTCCCCCTTTGTTTTTGCACAGTCGGTGACCACCGTTTTAGTTGGTGCGAATCCGTCACTCTAGGTCCCAATGACTCGGAATATGCGTAGGCATTTCCCCGCGAAAAAAAAGTTACCTAAGTTCAATCTTAAATTTTAAGATTTTTTTTATAATACGTACTATTTGATGCAGCTGCTTTTGTACCCAACTCATTGATAACCACAACGGCTTTTTGAACAGCAACAGAGATATGTATTGATTGATTATTTTTCAGTAACCCATTAAGATCCGAATTGCCAGACACGAACATTTCAGTGACATTTACCTGCGTACATAAATATTATAAATACCAACAATAGTTCATCATCACCAGCTCACTATACGTCCCCACCGAGGGGCTCGGAGCCTACCCTAATAAGGGGTGACTAGGCCATAGTCAACCACGCTGGCAAAGTGCGGGTTGGTTGACTTCACACATATCTTTGAATTTCTTCGCCGATATGTGCAGGTGGCATCACGATGTTTTCCTTCACCGTAAGAACGTCGGGTAAATTATGTACATACGAGCTGTTGCCCGCGACTTCGTCCGCGTAGTATTAGAAAACATACAAACTATATAAATTACAAAAAGTTACGTATCCCTCGGGGACCGGACATTTCTCGGGGATAAAGCTTATCCCATGTGTACACCAGACTTTGTTTTATATCTGTGCCAAATTTCAATATGATATGTTGAACCGTTGCAGAATGATCGAGTAAACATTAAAAAACTAAATTAATGAATCCCACGGGAACCGTAACTATTCCCGGGATAAAAAGTAGCCTATGTGTTCTTCCAGACTGTGATCTAAACCTGTGCCAAATTTCATAGAGATCCGTTCAGCCGTTTAGGCTACAAACGCTAACAAACATCCATCCATCCGAATATCGAAAAATCGAAAATCACGGCACGAACACGGCAGCGGGATTCGAACCCAAGACCTGTGGATTACAAGTCAAGTGTTCAAACCACTGAGCCACCGACGCTCCGTACAACAATAGTTACGTAATCTTTATCGCTATATAAATAACTAGCTGTTGTTCGCGACTTCACCTGCGTTAATTTAAAAATAATGAAAAATATAGCCTATAAGCTTTAGCCTGTGACTCTATCCGCGTGGAGTTAAAAAAAACAAAAGTGAGTAGCCTATGTGTTCTTCCAGACTATCCTCTACATCTATACCAAATTTAATTGAAATCCGTTCAGCCGTTTAGGCTACAAACTCTAACAAACATCCGTTCATCGAAATTTCTTCAGGCCGAATCGCGGGAGAGCGCACACGGTCTGACCGCATGTACCTTCTTGACTCCCTACAAATTATATTATCTATTTACTTGTGACAAGTCTCCACGTCCATTCATCCATCCAAACTTTCGCATTTATAATATTAGTATGATGTTTCTCAATGTTAACTTAGCTTTTTAATGGTGAAAAAATTTTTGAAATCGGCCCATTATTTTTTGAGTTATTTCATGTTTTACAGAAATACAAATCATTCCTATTTAGTATGGATATAATGTTAGTATGGATTTAATTCATATTTACGCCTTTTAGGATTCCCTGTAAATCTGTTGTACTGGAAGTTTCTATAGACGGTAATGATACTTCAACTTCTGCGTTTCTCAAATCATCGATAATTTCTGTAAACACTTGGGGATTTCTAATCCTCTTAGCCACTTTTTGCAAACCATAATCAACTCGTGACGTGGGTAGTATAACTAAAAGGCTATAATGCTGCTTCGTGTATGGTAGTTGCAATGCCTGAAATAACAGACACAAAGATTACGAAAAGCTTCAATTTAAACTTGACATTTCAATAGTTATGTTTCTAACTCTCGATCATCCGAGACCGAGAGCTCAGTATCCGATGAAGCTGTAAAAACCGTCATAGGGTTAACATTAACATCACCGAAAACAAGAGAGAAGAGTTATGTTTCAAATTTCAATATGCTCTATCTTTATTAACATTACCACGAAAAATTTTAATCAATTGAAGTACTTTCTTTACCTTTATTTGAAGAGCTGGATTTTCCATGTATTTAAACGTATTCTTTTGATACATCATTTTTACTTCAACCTGCTCGCCTATCGATAAGTAAAAGTCTTTATGTTTTGTGTCATTTGGATTGAAAGCATAGTCCCAATCACCCTAAAATATATGTATCATGATAAGTTAATTTAGTCCATTCGTAAGATATTTTTGGCTGCAAATTATCTTACCTTGAAATAAATGGCATTAACTAAAACCATATTTGTTGATTGGTCCAACATATTGGGTTCAACAATTCGTGAAATGAGACCATGGGTTTGTTCTTGCACCTTTAAGGAAAGAAAATTTTATTTAAATTTCTATTGGTTTTTGATCATTTAGTTTTTGTAGTGTGTAATTTACCACTCATGGTGCAATTAGATCGAACATTTATTATAATAACAAACATACGTGCTGAATAACAGCAAAATATAATTACAATTAACAAATGGTGCTAAGTTGGTTTTACGATAACCACTTGTTGTATTAAATTTCGTTTTTTAGTGGGTACCAAATTTCTTTTACTATACATACCCACTCGTTGATCATTTTCGCTACTTCTTGATTCTTTTCAAAGTCTACATTTTGAGCTTCGGCATTAAAATAATCCTTAGTGTCATTTTTAAAGTCTTCAGATAATTCTGTATTTACATTGGAGTAGATTCTTTGAGCTAATGAAATCTGTACATCATCAGAAGATGAAAAAGACTTCAAAATTTCACGGAAACCACCCCCAACCTAAAAGAAAAATCCTATAAGTAAAATTGAGAGATAAAAGTTAAAGGTCGGCAACGCATCTGCGGTGCTGCGGATGTCTATGCGAGTTGGCAATCTCTTCTCATTAGGTTTAAATACATAGTTAATATAATATAAAATAAAACAATTGAATACCTCTATTCTATTGTCGACATGAAGGATATTTGTTAGTTGATCGTGTGTTGTTCCATTGGCGTACAGTGCAAGTTCTGCCAGGGGTATTAGAACAGAAAACGGAGATACTATAAAACTGTTATAAGGACTTTCATTTAGTTTTAACTGAAAACAAAAATTCACATAAGAATCTTCGCATAATAATATTTAATACGTTTTAAAAATCATACATATTGTTACGAGCGTAGGGATAGAGGTGTTAAAACAGTTTGGTAATTCCAGTTTAATTTATTCTTGACTCCCACTCACAGGAATTCACTGCATTATCACAATTCGTTAACACTACATGACACACAACAACACAGAGTCTAGCACTGAGCACTTCACAAAACACCACTGATTCTATAACACCAGCACTTTCACTTCACGGTCATCTTACTTCTTCGCTATTCACCGAGGACTTCTTCACAGTTCACTTTCCACCGTAAGACTCATCGGGTCGGATCCCTCTCCCCTTATATAGCCCGAATTTCGATCTTCTTTTCGTTATTCTTTTGTGACAATACATTATCGATTGTTTTTGATTCTCGATGCAGCTTCAAATATTCCTTTTAAATTCTACTTTTCCTTTATAAAGATGTACATCTTTTAATGTCTTTTCCGCTACTCGCCAACGGATGGCGCTGCGATAGAACATTTTGGAAACTTCTCGACTATTCGACGGAGGTCAATTTCGCTGCTCGCCGTCAGAAGTCGCTGCTATAGAACATTCTGGAAACAGCTCGATTTTTTCACGGACATAAAATCTGCTACTCATAATCGATAAATAGTCGCGACAACAAAATTGGTATTATTAAAATTTGACGTTTCAAAGAATAAATAATACTTACATTTAAAAAGTTTAGTGTGAACTCCGTATTTCCTTGCCATAATGATTCAACGGCAGTATCGTACCTTGGTTTAGCTAGAATAAGTAAAATTAAAATTGAAATAAAATGAATTTCTGTCTTTAATTCTAATGGAAAATTATGTTTATTTTCAACCAAAATTAGATAATAATCAATAATTAAATAAAAAATAATTAAAACTCCATACCTGTACATAATGTAATAATGTATGCGTTAGCTACAGAGAGAAATAAAACTGTTTTCATCATGGTGTGCCGCGCATACCGATTCGCTTCAAGATTTCTAGAATTTATATAGCAATTTAGAATGTTGTAACTAATTACCGTTATAAAGTAAAACAATACCTGATTTAAACATGATAATAGTATATGATTTTATAGGGTCTTTTTCATAGCTTATCATAAATTCCATTTAATTTCAGTTATTTTGTTCATAATAAGTAAACATTTTAATAAAAAGCAAATTCGAGTTCCAAACAAAATACACGAAAGACAAAATAGCAATACACTAAAAAGGAACGAAATAACTCGTGAATTAATCAGACCTAACTTACTGTAGCTATCATGTCTACATTGTATTGGTTGTTTAAGTAATTTCTTTTCCCGTCAGAGGACTTAATTACGTATTTTCGAAACCAACTTCACACTTAAGCCGCATAACCATTATGTGTCTTGAGAGCTGATATTGCAAGGCTTGTGTTTTACTATTAATTCTACACAGTAGTTTTTGGTTGGTGCCCTTTTATATACGCAGCATTTTCCAAGCGAGAAAAAAATTGACGGATGTGTATGGAGAAGGCGTGTTAACAGTACACCAGTGCCAGAACTCGTTTGCAAATTTCGATCCGGCAATTTTGATGTCGAATATGCACCACCGTCTGGAAGGCCGATCGAAGCTAACAAAGATGCGTTAAAGCATTAGTTGATGCAAATCGGCGAATAACCACACCAGAGATCGGTGAGAGATTAAATTTGTTGAATTCAACTGTTTATGGCCATGTCTTTATGTTATGTTCATACACTGTCTTTCATGTTCCCCAAAAAAAACGAAATGACTTTCCGAACAACCCTATACAATTATTTTTACTTTGATGTCTGATGATGATTTTCACCATAACAATTAACTATTCAACGTATAGTACCGTTTTTAACGTATAGTAACTATTTAACTACGCCCCAGTCTTTGACTCCAAAAATTAAACAAAGAAATGGCACCTAAAACTGAAAATAGAAACTGAAAGCACTACCTTTCGGATGAAAAAGAATTGTCTTAATGGCTCCACCAGGGGCCTTTTGCCGTAACACATATAAAAAAAAAACATACAGACGAATTGAGTACCTCCTTCTTTTGGGAAGTCGGTCAAAAAAGACGTTTAAATTAAGCAGAAAACATAGCCAATGTTTAAGAAATCAGCTGCTCTATAAACTTGTAATAACCTATAATTAAACGATTAACATCGTTTCTATTTACACAGCTTAAAAATTGTTTTGAGGAACCCTAAATTAAGGTATTATTTACGTTATATCATGTGTGACTAACTAATTTTCATCCGCATATTAAACGCGTAAAATTATTCTTCTTATCAAGCAAAACGAAATACACAATAATAAGGTAAACATAAATTAAACTGACTTTTGTAAGTCTGTATCAAGATTGACAGTTTCAAACGGTGATGGGTCTCTAAGAAATTGAGATCACAAAATGTTTTCATCGAAGTTTTTAGATTAGTCTAGTTTTTCCTTTTAATAAAAAAATAATATAAGATACCGCCAGTGCAAACTTCTAGCTACTAGTTTATTATTTGAATATTCAAACACCACTAATATTATGAAAATTTTATTAAAAAGTGCGATGTAATATCCCGTTTAATCGCCTTAAGAATTAGTTAAATAATTTGAAAAAGCACTTTTAACTCTAAAATCGAATATTCGAGCAGAAATAATAAATAAGTTTCACAAAGTTCACTCAACTCGGAGAAACTTGGAACGGATTTACAACTTTGACGTACTTGTTAAGGTAAAGATTGGTGGTCCCGCAAATTAGTTGATCGTTAGTTTCTTGCGAACTTCAAAACGAACTATCGACCATCAACTATAAACATCGACTAAGTTCTAAGCAAGGGTAAGTTACTCGAATTTCGATCCATCTTGTCGCTTACTTAACTTTAAGTGCACAAGTCAACTCTTTAGGAAACTTGAGTGTTTAAGATGAATAATCTATTGTTTTGATCAAGGTAATGTAAAGTTTTATAATTACGCAAACTACTGTTTTTTTTTTCAAAGTTACCATCTACGTATTATAATAATGATGGAAACGTACCTACAAACTTTATAACTCAACAAGTGGAGACTAGAGTTTTGAAATCTTGTATACAAGACGATATAATTCAATAAAAGTTCATCCTTAAATATTAGACATGGAAATGGGAATTGCAGGTTTAGGCTGAGCGCCATCTGCACACGGCCACCTCAAGCGAGGTGGAGCTGAAAATGCCTTCTTAAGGTAAATAGTTACAACTCAGTCAAAAAAAAAAATTGGAAAGCGCATGCGCAATAACAGATGTCTCTCATCCATATGCATTCGTTTATCTGACAATTGACGGATTACAGTATTCAATATTGTCTGCGTTAATTTGAATAGAATACCTAACTTCCCGGAGAAAATTGGAACGATATCTGAATACTCCTCGGCAATTTCAAAACAAATATGTTAATTTATTCCCCGATAGACTACGACCATTTCCATAATTTGATTGCTTCGAGCTTGTATTAAAAGAATCGCGATATTGAATTATGGGTTTTATTAAAAGATTCAGCAATTTAAATAAAAGCATTTCGTTGTAGCGGTCAAGGAATTAATAACAGTTTTTGGGAGAGTCGAAGTGTTTTATTTTGTAGAAAAAATTAATTGGCTTTTAGTTTTTTACATTCTAATAAGGCAGAAGTTAAACATATTATAAATTGATCGACAAATTGGATAGATTTCTATAATATTTAATAGTTAAATTTTCTTTTTAAAAGTTATATTTGGCGTGTTTAAGTTGACTTCTTATACAATGTGTATTCTTGTCAATGTGAGTACCGAGACATGTGTAGGTTAGGTGGATTTTTCTCTCCTTATGTCAGCCATACAAACATCTACTGTGTAACAATAGTCGACCGCGACGGCGAGGGTTGTGTTCGGTACATGTTTACTTAGGACACGACGTTGTTTCTTCCGAGCGACTACAAATATTTGGCACAGTTGATGAAACGTTCGTATGCCATTGAAGAGCTCGTATCGGTGCGATACACCCCATATAAAAATATTTGCTTTCAATGTTTTTGTTTTTATATTCCCTATCAAGGTTTACATTATGTCGTGAAATTGAATAGGCGTAAATATTCATGGGCTTTTAGAGTTAAAAATACATTAATCAAATCAACAACCATTAGTTGGGTGAGTTATTTTTTTACTAAGGAAATGTGTAAAAAAATAACCAGTTCATACATTTTTTTGCGATTACTTACGTTCCGTAACATTGTGAAATTATTGTCTAATGATTTTTTAATTAACGCCATCTTCCAATGAATGAAAAAATGGTTTCTGAATGGAACGTAACTAAAGACATTTTGATTAACAAATTAAATGTTGTGTATTTTAACATTCTTGGTAAATTTTCAAAGACAAGTTTAAGAAAAGACCCCTTTTGAGTCAATGTAAAATTAATGAAATAAATAGGCATAGAGTAATCCATACAATATGATATCATCAAATTTGTTTGCAAGAGAAGTAGCTTGATAAGTCGCTTTGAGTATTTGAAGAGAACATTCAGTCATTACTTCATTCAAATATTTGACGTCATCGTTTTGTCCTAAGCAAATATCTGTTAATACGATCTCAAAGTTTGAAGTCAACCACAACGGAGTTTAAGGTTGATACTTAAAGTTTACTAAAGCCTTAAATCAAATGTTAAATGTTATTAAATTTCGAAGATCAAATCTGTAAAGATTTTTTTTGTGTAGTAAAGAGATTAACTGGCTTTTCATGTTAGTTATTATTTATTTAGCTTTATTTAATTCCATACACAAATGTTACATTACATTTAGTACTATAACATTATCATACACTTTTTTTTCTATATTGTATGGACCCTATTACGGTTAAAAGCCTCCTCCAATCACAATGTAGCTTTTGTAAATTTGTTTTTGACATAAAAACATATTTTAGTACGTATTGTGATACGGCATAAAATATTGATACATAATAAACACACTTTTTCAGCGTTACTTACTTACTGCGTTGGCGCAGCGATCCACAATGGGTCTCGGACACGAGAGAGCGCCAGCGTCGTCTTTCCTGCGACGTCGCCTGCCAGTCGATTGACTCTAGCTCACGCAAGATCAGCTCTACGGCGTTAGATTATAATCACTTAAATATACGACAGTTTATAGTTGGATTATTACAATAACTATTAATATTATTGCATATTTAAAAAGAAGAGTTAATATTTAGTAATTAAAACAGTATAACTAATACAATCTGTAGACAGGTTTCATGTTATTACACATGTAAAGTCATTGAATAATTTGGCTTAAGTGTAATTTGGAACAAAAGACGTTTACAAAATATCTAAGCTACTGTCTATTTGTTAGGTTCATTTCTTTTAAAGCTAGTCTGTTCAGAATTCAATCGTATGATGGCTTTCTTGTTTCCTATAATCTAAGACGAGCTATATTGTCTGATCGTTTCTCAATCTGGTGAAAGTGAAATACGCTGTGTTGCTGCCCTTAACGAACGGTAGGTTTTAAAGACATTTTGGGTACGTTATATAATTTAAGGTATTGGTAAGAAACTGATTCTTTTTACGAGATTTTAAACCTAAACTCAGCAATGTTCGTGCCAGTATAATATCCCTATAAATTTTCTGATAGCATCTTCTGGGGCGGTTAATATAGTATTATTTAGCTTAAAGGTTCGTGTATGTTAACAAATGTGTATCTTGGTTAACAAAATTTCAAATTTACTGTTTTACTGTTTGCTCTATCACCTATATTTATTCTTTGCTAAATGTTATGTAAGTAGACTTTGAAAATTAATAAATTCAAGCCATCTTTTAACTCTCCTGATTTACAGTCTAGATAGGAAATTAAAAAAAAAACAAAATAAAAGCCCTTAATAATGCTAATATAAGATAGTTAAGAGCTAATGTAGCGAACAAAAATGCTGTCCACAACAGAGCTAGGCTATAGTGAATAAAGAAAAATGAGTAGTTTTAATCTGGATAAAAACTTGTCAGTGAAGTTCAATGGCAGGTTAATTAAAAGTCTTTTTACTTGCGTTGCTCTTTAAAATTTCCATTGTTTTTAAAGTCCAAA